ATTTAAGTGACATTGACTACGCTCTTCTAATTGTGCTGTTATTCTCACTTAAGATGAAGGCTTACAGGACAAAATAGTCTCCCATTTAACAATTACTATAAATGTTGCCCTATGACAATGGTTAACAATCTCACAACACATCAACAAAGATTTTAATCTACATTTTGAGGAAATATTCTAATATAAATAGAGACTTTTAAAAATAGATCAGAATATGGCTCACCATTGAACAAAATCTTGGACTCTTAATAAACAGAGGAACTTAATTTAACCAATCAGATATTCCCATTTTTAGAAATTATGTTTTTAAGCAAATGATAAATAAGAATTAAATATTTTACCGGAGATATTTTCTCTGCCCACTCAATCTCAGATTTGAATCCCACCTATTGGTTTCTTGACCCAAAAGCTGTTGCTTCTAATACAGGTGGTTAGAACTTTATGCCACTACATTAATCCTGAGTCAGAGCAGTTATTATTTTAGTTTTTGTTTTTAAAAGAAATTGTCCTCTAGGCAATTTCGGTGTTTACCTAAGCCTTTTTTAAACATAATGTCACCTCATCACTCTTAAAAGGTTAGGGCTCTATTGACCTTTTTAACTGTCATTCTCGTCAGGAAGCGTCCAGGTCTTTCTGCTCCTCTGCTGTGAATTCCGACTCAGATGAATACAGTGAGAGGAAGAGAGCTCAGAAAAGGAACTTTGAGTTTGACTCATTGGTGGTTGCTGGGTATAAATGAAAAACTGTGCCTGTGAGGTTGTTTTGGTAGCATTTACAAGGGCAAACGCCATGTGAAAACTAGGAATTACAATAAACCATGACATCTTCATTCAAATTGACTTATGGTTTCCTTCTCCAGAAAATGTGGGATGAGCTAGATCTCTGGCATTCTAAGCTAAATGATCTGGATTCTGAAGTTCAGGACATTGTTGAACAGGACCCAGGACAGGCTCAAGAGTGGATGGATAATTTGATGATCCCCTTCCAGCAGTATCAGCAAGTATCACAGAGAGCAGAAACTAGAACCTCACAGTTAAATAAGGTATGGCCATAGGACGTGGTAGCTACAGAACATGAGGTGGCATTGAGATGGGTTTAAAACAAAACAAAAAGGAGAGAGGTAATGAGTTTCGTTTGAATTGCCAGTTATAGGACTTGAAGCCAGAGCTGCAAGGTAGGTTCGGGTGGGCACTGAGGGGACAGTTTCACTGCTGGAACAGGCAGAAATCTGATTGGACAAGCAGAATAACTAAGTATCCAAAAGTCAGACCACAGCACTAGCCCAGGCAAGCATTGTGGTTCCCAGTAGGTGGATGATAACCAGTAAAGGACATTTAGGGCAGGCAACCTCAGGAGTCTGGGGAGGGAGCCAGCAACAAGAAAGACTGTCATTTAGGATCAAAGGAACAAGATAAACTCCCTCCCCCCCAGTAGGGGTCATAGGTGGGTGACTTGTGTAAGTGACCTAGCAAAAGTAAGACAGGATCCTAGTCTTAAGGGAACTGGGACATTACAAGACAAGGCCTACAGCAGAAGGACAAAGTACAAATCCAGTTTTCAGAATGAAGCATAAAATGAAGATTAGTTCCAGACTACCTGGAACCCTTACCAAGGCAAAGTTTGGGGTAGAATATCTTAAATCCTTTCCACCTATGGTCAGGATTAGTCTTAAACATTGAAAGATCAAAACCTGGAGGGGATGGTCAAATGGCCTCAGCCAGGAGTGAGGAGACGTGTAAGGCCTGACACACCACTGCTAACAGCAATTCTCCACTCAAGAATCATTCAACTCAAGTGAAAGGCTTCAGGCTGAATTTAGTACTGGATCTCTTTCACAGGCCACAGTTAAGATGGAGGAATATAATGACCTTTTGAAGAGCACTGAGGCTTGGATAGAAAATACCAGTCATTTGCTGGCCAATCCTGTCGACTATGACTCTTCAAGGACACTGAGTCAGCATGCAATCACCCTGCAGGTAAGTGCTCTTTCGATGGTTTCTGGGAGTCACAGAATATACTTAATAGTGGCTTAGCTGACCATTATGGTGATTTTTTTGTTTTTTTTTTTACTCTTTCCTAAAAAGCAACCGTACCTCCAGTCATGCCAAGCGCCAGAAGGAAGCTTGGGAGAGTGGAAAGCACTAGACAGGGATTTGGGAGACCAGGGTCTGGTTCTTTCCATCCTAATAACTACTTCATGACTTTAAATAATTAATGTCTTCACCACGGGCCTCAGTTTCTCCCATCTTTGAGTAAGAATGTTGCACTAGGATGGTATTGAAGAATTGTTATTGACAAAATTCAAAGATGGCCCTGAAGACCCCCATCTCCTGGTCTACATGAACTGTATCACCTCCCCTCTGACCCTTAAGTGTGGACATGAATATGAGTATTATGATCTTCCCAACTCTGAGTACTGTCTCTAGTTTTCTTGTGAAGGCGTATTTCCCTTCTCTTATACCATTTAGCCATGAGAAAGAATGACTTAGGAAAATGTTTATTTTATAACAGTTTTTACAGTAATCAGACCTCAAAGTTGATCCAACTCCCTTTTATATCTTTAGAATGGCACAATATATTCCTAAGTCAGCTGCTAACTTCATACTTCCTTGATGTTTGAGATTTTTTTGGCACCTTTTTTTCCTATATTTAACAGTTGTAAAGATACGGCATTTTCACTTTTTTTTTTTTTTTCTTTCCTTCCTCTTACCTGTGATTTCTTTTGTTCCCTCAGTCCCTTGTAGCTTGACTTTTCACATCTCTAAAGCATGTCATCTTTTTCTTTTTAATCATTTGTATGATTCACTGTTTTTAAGGTATTTGCCAAGGTAGAAGAGGGAAATGCTTTTTTCCTCATATGCTCATTATGAGTTTAAAAAAAAAAAACAAAAAAACTGTACAAACGTGAGCTCAGGTGACAGTAGCCAGACTTTTGCCACCTTCTGCTGCCACAGTTGTAAAAGTGTGACAGTGTCTCTCAGGCTGTTCAGGACATTTTGAATTGCTGGGCTTTGTTTATGATCTGGAACTGAGCAGAGGAAGCAGGGACACAGGAAGGTGCAGTTATGTTTCCCACAGAATGTATCTCCAGAGGCCCAACCTAATAAAATAACTAGTCCTATGTGAATACCTCATTTTATCCCTGTAATAACAGTAGTTGTCCGACTTTTATGATACCCTTTTCTGTTTATTCTAGCATTAGCAGGCATTGACTTTTAAAATTACACTTAAAGGAGTTTCAAATCTCTCCACTAAGCTTTAAAGTTCAAATTAAAAGTTTGTTTTAATTGCTGTATAGCCTTCTACCTAGATGGTGTTTATTAAAACAGGGTGTTATAACCTAATGATGATTCCACAAATACTGTTGCTATAATGGAGAATGATTGATTTTTATAATAAGAAAAAACTTTTTTTTAATCAACTTTATTGAAATATAATTTACATACGATAACATAAACCATCTGAAGTGTCCAGTTAGATGAGTTTTGGTAAACATATATAGTTGTGTAACCACCACCACCATCAACACAAAGAATGTACTCATCACCCTAAAAAGTTCCTCATGCCCCTTTGCAGTCCGTCCCCTTTTACCCACCTCCAGCCCCAGGCAATCACTCACTGATCTGCTTTCTATGTCTATAGTCTTGCCTTTTTTAGAATATCATACAAGTGAAATCATATGGTGTGTAGTCTTTTATGTCTGACTTTTTTCACTTAGCGTAATGTTTTTGAGATTCATCCAGCTTGTTACGTGTATCAGCAGATCGTTCTTTTGATAGCTGAATAGTATTCCATTTTATGGGAATAATGCAATTTGGGTTGTTTCCATTTGGGGGATATATATTAGTTATTTACTGCTGTGTAACAATTCACCCCAAAAGTTAGCAGCTTAAAACAACAAACACTGATTATCTCATAGTTTCTGTGGGTCAGGAATCCAGGCCCGGCTTAACTGGGTGCCTCTAGCTCAGGGTCTCTTGTGAGGATGCAGTCAAGCTGTTGGCAAAGGCTGCAGTCTTATCTGAAGGTTCAATTTGGATGCGGGGAGGGGCAGGATCTACCTCCAAGCTCACTCACATGGCTGTTGGCAGGCCTCAGAAATCCTTTCCAGGCTCACACACTCAGGTCTCTCTACAAGGCTACCTTATGGCATGGCAGCTGGCTTCTATCAAAATGAAAAATCCAAGTGAGAGCTAGAGAGCTCCCAAAACAGAAGCCACAATCTTTTTTTATACCCTAATCTTAGAACTGACATCCCATCATGTCTGCCATATTTTATTAGTTAGAAGTAAATCAGTTAAGTCCAGCCTACATTCAAGGAGAGGTGATTACAAGGGTGTGAATGCCAGGAGGTAGATCATTGGGGGCCATCATAGAGGCTGCCTACCACAGGCTATTATTATGAGCAAAGCTGCTATGAACATTCATATACAAATCTTTGTGTGAATGTATGTTTTCATTTCATTTCATTGGGTAAATAACTAGGGATAGGATTGCTGACTTTTGTAATAAATGTATGTTTAATTTGGTAAGAAGCAGCCAGACTGTTTTCCAAAGTAGCTGTACCATATTTCAAGCCCACCAGCAATGTGAGTTCTATTGGCTCCACATCCTCATCAGGACTTGATATTGTCTGTCTTTTCTATTTTAGCTGTTCTAGTGGATGGTATCTCATTGTGGTTTTTATTTGCATGTCTCAATGACTAGCAATTTTGAACGTCTATTCATGTGCTTATTCCTTTGTGAAGTATCCAATTTTTTGCCCATTTTTTTTATTGGATTGTTCATCTTATTGAGTTATGAGTTCTTTGTTTATTCTGGACGTATGTTATGAAAATATTTTCTCTCCATCTATGAATTGCATTTTCATTTCCTTAAAAATATTTTTTGAAAAGCACTTTATAATTTTGCTGAAATGCAATTTCTTTTCTTTTTATGGTTCATGTTTTTTTCTTTATCCTAGCAAAGAAATCTTTATTAACTCAAGGTCACAAAGATTTTCTCCTCCTATATTTTCTTCTAGAAGTTTTATAGTTTTAGCTCGTATGTTTAGGTCTGTAATCCATTTTGAGTTAATTTTTTATATGGTTTAAAGTAAGGATTGAGGTTCATTTTTTCCCCCATATTGGTATCCAATTGTTCTAGCCCCACTTTTTGAAAAGACTCTCCTTTCCTCATTGAGTTACCTTGGCACCTTACTGAAAATTAAGCAGCTGTATGCATGGTAGGTCTATTTCTTTGCTCTCTTTTCTGTTCTATTGATCGATGTGACTCTTCTTCACCAATTTGGCACTGTCTTGATTACTATAGCTTTATAGTAAATCTTGAAATCAGGTAATGTGAGTCCTACAAATTTATTCTTCTTTTTCAAAATTGTTTTGCTAATCTAGGTCCTTTGCATTTCCACATAAATCTTAGAATCAGCTTGTTGATATCTCTGTAGAGGTCTGTTGGAATTTTTACTGGTATTGCATTAAATATATAGATCTATTTGAGGAAATTGACACTTTAACCATATTGACTCTTACAGTGCAGGAACATAATATATTTCTCCATCTATTTGGGTTTTCTTTAATTTGTCTCAGTAATGTTTTATAGTTTTCAGTGTACAGATCTTACATGTATGTTGTTAAATTTATCCGTATTTTATGTTTTTTAATGCTATTTTAAATGATATAATTGGTAGAAAGCACTTGCTTTAAGTCTTCTTTCGAAAAGTTTTCTCCTACTAAGATTTTGAATAAAGGTCAATATAAAATTCTGAATAATCTGGTCAATTCTAGTTGTATAAGAGAAGTTGTATACATAACTGTTCTTTCTCTTGTTAGTTATTTTATAGAATTACTTGAAGACTACATTAGTCAGTTGAACATTTGCAATAGGTGACTAAGATATTTTGAAATCTTAAGTTTAAAAGTTAATACATTCTAAGTATTATTTAAGAAAAAAAGAAATGTTGAGGAGGAATGTCTAAGAAATTCTAAATATAAATATTTTTCACTTTCATTCGGTCTTACCAGATAGAACTCTTTTGGTATCAAGTTATTCAAGTCAGCTCAAGCAAGCTTCAGGAATTTTAATAACTTTAATAGAGGAATGTCTCGTAGAATGGCTTAAGGGGAGGGCATTGGCACCAAGACTGTCAAGCTTCAGGACTCCCTCCTCATTTCTCACCTCCACTTTGTTTATCTATTTCTTACAAACCCATAGTTCCCCAGATTCCAAGTCTAGCCAACTGGAGAAAGCCAGAAAGGCTTTCTTGGCCCCAGTTCTAATTACAGAGGAGTGAATTGTGGGTCAGGTGTTCCTGGCCCTGTCAATGATGGCTGGAGGAGCAGGTTTACATTTATAAGATAGAAGATAGCTGCTGCAGCACAACTGGAAGAACGTAATGGATGTCACTGAATTGTACATGTTGAAATTTTTGAAATGGTGTATCTTTTGGTATGTATATTTTCACCAAAAAAGAAAAAAGGTCCTCCAAGGTCAAGAAGGGAGAGTGTTGACATATTGTGGGTTTGTTAACCAATGTCATAAAACAATATGTGTACTGACTGTAATGAGAAACTATTTGTTCTGTAAACCTTCACCTAAAGTACAATAATAAACATTAAAAAAAAAGGAAGAAGAAGAAGATAGCTGCTACAAGCCCACCATAGCTGAAAATAGACAGTCAAGCAGTTGTTGTTAGCTGCCATCAAGTCAGCCGCCAACCCCTGGTGACCCTATGCACAACGGAATGAAAACACTGCCTGGTCCTGTGCCATCCCCATGATCAGTTGTGGATCAGACTATTGTGATCCATGAGGTTTTCGAGAGACAGTCCTTTCTTCCTAGTCCATCTTAGTCTGGAAGCCCCAGTGAAATGTGTTCAGTGTTATAGCAACACATAAGCCTTCAATGATGGATGGATGGTGGCTGCACATGAAGTGTATTGGTAGGTAATCAAACCTAGGACTTCTGCATGGAAGGTGAGAATTCTACCTCTGAATCACCAATGCCTTCAGTCAAGGAGTAGACACCTTTAAATCTCTAAATTCATCCACCACCATTGACCATAGTGTTCTGTGTTTTCATTAAAGAAAAAAAAAAAAATCATTGCCATTGAGTCGATTCCGACTCATAGCGACCCTATAGGACAGAGTAGAACTGCCCTGTAGAGTTTCCAAGGAGCACCTGGTGGATTTGAACTGCCAGCCTTTTGACTAGCAGCCATAGCTCTTAACCGCTACGCCACCATGGTTTCCGTGTTTTCATTAGGAAACTGGAAATGAGCAGTGTTAGTATAGAGTTTGAATGTTGAGACAATTTTAAATTTTCTTTGATATAAATTTATATAAACATGTTTCAGTATATTGATATGTCTCTTTTTTCTTTCCTTGTTTCTCATTGTCTAGATGGCTTTGGAAGATTCAGAACAGAAGCACAATCTTTTATATTCAGTTTTCTCAGATCTAGAAGACTTGTCAATAATTTTTGAAACAGATGACTTAGCACAGTTGGTACAGCAGTTAAGTAGTCAAGTAACAACCTTACAACAAAAAATAATGGAAAGCCTTCCACAGATTCAGCGAATGGCTGATGTAAGTTTGCATTATGAAGATGTGATGTCTTACTTTATATTTTATTTAGCAAATTCCAGCTATATTACTAATTAACTCCTAATTATATGAAGACAACTTGATTTGGTAAACTCGTCATGTTCTTATTTCTTGGATTGTATTTTACTTTACTTTGCAAACCTGCGGTGCAACTACAACAAAAAATCATATTCCCGTTCTCAATCTGGAAATGGTCTGTTTTGAGAGGGAAGAATCTAGACCAAATAAGTGCAGTGTTTTCCCTATGTCAGAGAGGCAGTGATATTGTTGAACTCAAAGCATAGATTAACAGAAAGAGAATGAAGACACATAACTTCCCAAGTCTTCATTCACCAGTAGCAAATATTTATTGAGGGCCTGCTGTGTAGAAGCCACTAGATTTTTAAATAATTTTACTTATTTTTGCTTGAAACAAGTGAGGCATTTATTTAACAATGGAGTCACATAACGAAGACAAGTGCCGTTAGTTCTTAATTATTTACCTTTTGTTTCTCAATTACTTTCCCTACACACTTGTGTAACTTCAGGGAAATGGTTGTTAAAGTAAATATCCTTGGTGTTACTGACACGTAGTCCAAACTTTTAAAATGCTTCTGTAATTTTTGGTGGAAATCATCCTAAAATACAATGTATACGTCTATATGCTTTCTTAAATAGAAGATGCAGAAAATAATTTCAGTATCATTTAACTTTTCTTCATAATTTGGAGACTTCACTCTGAACAATTACTGTACTTACTGCTTCATTTGCTTCAGGTCTATAAAGTTGTACTTGTTTTTATATTGAATGACTCAAAATTGCTATAATTTGAAACTCTTGATCTTTTACTGTGTAGTTATTCCCTTCATTATTGTAATTTCTTATTGTTGAAGAGTACCAGACTTGAGTTCTAAAGTAAAGGTCTGAAAGTCCTCTTACAGTGTGAGCAGGCTTCAATATGTGGATTTTTGCAGCACATATTCTTACTTATATTTTGCAGCATTTTCACTTTAAGGTTCTTGGCCAGGTTCTGGAAGTTAAGAGAGTAACCACTGGATAAATGAACCATTGTTTAAATAACCTGAGTAGGTTATGAAGTAATTTAGTGACTCTGCATGGCAGTGGTTCATTAGGGATTGACAAGAAAATCCTGTCAGTCTTCCAGCTCCTGTGATATTTTTCTAAGAAGGGCTGTATCATTTTACTTAAAGTGGTAGGAATTTTTTAAATACCAGTCCCTCTTGCATTCAGGTGTTTAAATACATTCCAAAGGTTAATCTAAAGAGTTTGTAGATAGTTTGGAATTTACTACAAAAAAGTGATTTGAATTCATGCTACTTCTGTTCTCCTAGTATGAGTAGTTGAAAATTGGCTATTATTCAACAAGGAATAAGCCATGCTTAATAGTGTGGTATACTATCAATAGACTGACATTTTTATTGAAAACAATCAACATTGTGTAGTACTTGGTAGTTCTTAAGAGAAATAACTGGCAAACGTGTTTTGGTTAAATATGTGAATAGAGTTAACGGCAATACATTGTGTTTTATAGATTATTAATATACTCCATGAGCGTTTTATTGTTGCTTAAATTCTAGGATGTGGTTGCTATTGAAACTGAAGTAAAATCAATGGAAAAGAAAGTTTTAAAAATCAAAACTATTCTTTTATCAAAAGAAATATTTGATTTTTCACCTGAAGAAAATCTTAAGCATGGGGAGGTAAGCATGGATTATTATTAGAAGTATTTTCTCATGATACTTATGATGTCTTTTTTAAAATATGTGAAAGTATGCTGTGGTTAAAAAATCATTTAGTCTTGCTAGAGTAACAGCAAAGTAAGGCTGGAAAATAGATTTAATGACTATAAATAATCATATTTTAAATCATATTCATAGTACTATCTATATCATTTTCCTATAGGTTATTTTTTCAGTTACTTTCTTCCTAAAACTTAAAAAGTTGGAAGTGTTAACTTTAAGTCAAATCCAGGTGTATAATAGTCCAAGAACTTGAGCATCTAAGTCAGGGAGAAATGGATTCCAGTCTCAGTTACACTGCTTACAGGCTCTATAACTTGGAACAATTAGCTAAGTTTTCTTGGACTGTCTTTCATACCTGTAAATTGATAATGAGGTGTTTACATTGAACAGTTATAATATATAAAGAGCCCCTAGCTCAGGAGCTGGAACATGCTAAGCAGCAGACAAACATTGATTCCCCCTTAGCCTAATGAGTAACAGCATGTGCCTTGGGATCAGTCACACCCTGGTTTTAATCCCAGCTCTGTCTCTCGCAACATAACCTTGCCTGGGTCTTCTAACTTCTGAACCTAGTTTTTCTACCTGTGAAATGGAGGTTGTCATGGATTAAATTGTGTCCCACCCCAAAAATGTGTCAACTTCGTTAGGCCATGATTCCCAGTATTGTGTGGTTTCCCCTATTTTGTGTCTTTCCTATGTGTTGTAAATCATAATCTCTGCCTGTGGTTAAGGAGGATTAGGGTGGGATGTAACACCCTTGCTCAGGTCACATCCCTGATCCAATTGTAAAGGGAGTTTCCCTGGGGTGTGGCCTGTACCACCTTTTATCTTACAAGAGATAAAAGGAAAGGGAAACAAGCAGAGTTGGGGACCTCATACCACCAAGAAAGCAGTGCCGGGAGCAGAGCATGTCCTTTGGACTCAGGGTCCCTGCGTGGAGAAGCTCCTAGTCCAGGGGAAGACTGATGACAAGGACTTTCCTCCAGAGCGGACAGAGAAAGCCTTCCCCTGGAGCTGATACCCTGAATTTGGACCTGTAGCCTACTAGACTGTGAGAGAATAAATTTCTCTTTGTTAAAGCCATCCACTTGTGGTATTTCTGTTATAGCAGCACTAGATAACTAAGACAGAGGTCATGATTACCTACCTCCCAGAGTAGTTGTGAGGATTAAATGAAAGGATACCTGTAAAGTGCTTAGTAAAGTAAATAAGCTCTTCTAATTTACTGGTTATGTAAATCCAGATTTCTATGGATCAGATATTATTAAAGCAAAATATAATTATATCATACTTCTAGGGCTTATAAATTTGACAGGACAGTTGAGTTCAATTCACTAAGCATTTTTTGAGGTCCTGCTATGTGGAAAGCCTTGTGCTAGGTATTGGTGCTGCCAAGGTGAATAAGATGGAGTACCTGCCCTTAAATAGCTCACTGCCTGGTGATAATACACAAAGTAAAACAACAGTTTTACAGAGAAAGAGAGAGAGAGGAAGGGAGGGAAGGAAGAAAAAGGTTGTGCAAGGGATAATTCAGTGCTAGTAGGTTTCTCTTACCCAGCCAGTCTTTCATGAGACCCTTAATTACCAGATCACAAATGATATAATAGTCCTTTTGAATCTGAACTAAGGGAGTGTTTAAAAATTGAAACTGTGAAGGCTAAATTACACAGTATTTCAATTAAAAAAATTAAATTTAGTGGTTCCCCCCCCCCCTTTTTTTAATGTGATATTTTTTTTCTTATGTAATTAAGGTCATACTTGAAAATATACATCCTATGAAGAAAACCATTGCTGAGATAGTGTCCTACCAAGTAAGATTGCAGTTACCCAAGACAGGAGTGAAATCTCTGCCTGTGTTTCAGCGGACAAATCAGCTTTTACAGGATGTAAAATTGTTGGAAAATGTGATTCAAGAACAAAATGAGTTATTAAAGGTGAGCAGGGTATGATGGCATACAACTTATTTGAAAATGTTCAGCCAAAGCTGGTTTTGTTTTCATTTTTGATAAATGAGCAGATCAAATTCCCATGGCAATAAGATACTACCATTGTTGATTCCTTTGGTCTCTCCCACCATCACTATCTAGGAGGCTGCATTTAATATATGAACATTTCCTCATGCTCAAATGGGGCTAAGGTTATTTTTCTCAGTTCTTACCCTTGTGCTGGTGCAGACATTAAAGCATAGTTATGGTCTGTTTAATTCCATTAATAGTTGTTGAAGACCTGCATGGATAAGGGTGTTGTTTTTGGGTGCCATCGAGTTGGTTCCAACTCATAGTGAACCCACATGACAGAGTAGAACTGCCCTATAGGGTTTTCTTGGCTGCAGTCTTTACAGAAGCAGATTGCCAGGCCTTTCTTCCATGGCACTGCTGGGTGGCTTCAAACCACCAACCTTTTGGTTAGCAGCTGAGCACTTAACCACTGGATCATGCATAAGGTGCTGTGGGAAGATTCAAACCCAGAAAAGGCACTTGCAGTCTCTGAGGCAAACAGACCTGTACAGTGATCATCGTGATAATAATCTCTGTACATTTCAGTCACTTTCACATAATCATCTCATTTTATTTTCAAACACATGATACAGGTAGAACAGGTGCTTTGTCATCTTTATTTTTACACAGAAGGAGACGAATACCAGAGTTAATTTGTGTAGAGATTAGTCTGTGTACAGATAGGACAAGAGTGAGAGTTTCTAAAATCCTGGTATCATTCTCCATCTCGGGGAGCCTCAAGTCAGGAATTATCATTAGATAGAAACTACATTTTATTTTGGTTTGTATTCCTACGTCAACAACCACTCCCACAAGAATGGAAAGTTGCTGAAAGAGCCTTAAATTCCAGACTTTCCAGCCCTCTTGGTAGATGTCTCCATCCTGCTTGTCATGATCAGGTGGTTTCGTTTAGAAGGGGTTATTTTTTTTCCCTTCCTGACCACTCCCTGGTTATAAGAAAACTGCTGTACCTTTCTACTTGTTAAATTTCTGTCACACTTAAGGTGGTCACTCTTTGTTCTCTTAAGACTTTGAGGGCACTGTACTCTCTGGTTTGGGTCTTAGCTCACACTGTCTGTCTGGCCTGACTACTGATAACCAACATCATCTCCTAACACCCTAGAGAGAAGAAAGGTCTGGTACTCAATGTCTTACTTTTTAATAACATAAGGAGAGGGAAAAAGGAGAGAATACAAAATTTGATCTATTATTTTTAATCTTTTTGTGCTTTATTGATGTCCTGGTCGGGAAAAGAAAATAACAACCCTTACTGTGCTTTAAAGTGGCTTCTTCACATGATGAAAGGGAGAAATAGCAGAGGAAATTATATTTTGTGCCAAGTTAGGTATCAAACCATGCTACTGAAATTTTCTGTCTTGTTGTGTGAGTGAAAATCAGATACCACCTCATATATTTCAAAGCTACGTAAGCCAGTAGTAATAAAAATCATTAGAATATGGTACATTTCTTTTAATTTCTACATTAAGTATTGTAAGTACCCTCATTGTAGAAAACGAGACAAATTACTTTTAGGGGAAGTAAGAGGATGTAGCTCATTATTGAACACTGGGGAACAGATGTGTACGGCCAACATTGTTATTCATTTCCAGCCTACAGCTAAAATCATGGTTAAATATTAAAGAACTTACAAAGAAGAATTCTGTCTTGGCCAGAAACTTTATACTTTGAAAAGGCATTTTGCTTCATTGTGAAGTATAGCAAGGATGTAGCTAGATTTTCATTTGAAGTCAATTTCTTTACCATCAGTCATCATACTTTAAAAAAAAAATTTATTGTGTTAAAATATATATAACAAAACATTTTCCAGTTTAGCCATTCTTAAGTGTACAATATAGTGAAATTAATTACATTCACCATGTTGTGCAACCATTACCACTATCCATTTTCCAAATATCACTCTAAACAAAAACCCAATACCCCTTAAGCAATAATACCCCATCTTCTCCCTTCCCAGCCCCTGGGAACCACTAATAATCTTTTGTCTGTATACATTTGCCTGTTCTAGGTGTTTCATATAAGTGAGATCATACAATATTTGTCCTTTTGCATTTCTTCATACTTTGATTATATCATTTAGTTCACAATTAGTTTTGAACTCTACTACTCCTGTAACACTGGAGTCCAGGCACTGTTATTGATTTTGTCTTATTCTGCAAATTCAGACTGAGCTTGATCCCTCAATTTCTGGCTCAAAAATGTTTATCACTGATCCCAAGAGGTGTCAGGTGGAGATGTGGCTGGACTGGGAAAATTCATCATTGCTGTCAGAATGACTCCAATCACATGACCTTTCCCTCCCAAGTCAGTAATGTCACCTTCCTGCATGGAAAGCCCCACAGGGAGTATGTATTACAGTGGTATACGTGGCCTACCATAATTTCATAAGACTCAGCAACTTTATATTAACATGCCATAAAATATTTCCCAGAATAGTAAGCCCACTATCCTGGAAGTACTTAAGAGCAAAGGGGTATCAAATTGCACTCCAAGCACTGAACATGGTGCCCTGGATCTAGTAGAACAAGCTTAGGTGTCAGCTTTGAAAAACATTCTCTGCATTCAAGTTACCACTTCCTGTTGAAAACTGCCTGGGTACAGATTTTCTGGAACTGATTGGAACCTCTCACAGGGATAAAAAAATTTTTTTAAAAACTCAGTGCTGCCCATTTGATTCCAACTCATGGTAACCCCAAGTGTGTCAGGGTATAACTGTACTCCCTAGGGTTTTCAGTGGCTAATTTTTTGGAAGTAGATCACCAGGCCATTCTTCTGAGGCCTGGGTGAAGTTGAACGTCCAACATCTCAGTTAGCAGCCAAGTGCATTAATTGTTTGCACTACCCAGGGAATCCTGGCAGGATTAGACATTGGAAATAACCATTAATCTAGACCTGAATCCTTACGTCAAGATTCTTCTTCTTCTTTTTTTTTTTTTTTGGTACTTTATAGATAGTCATAAAACAGATTAATGAATGTGATGAAGAAATGGAAAATTTGAAAGAGATATTAAATGATTATTCAGCTGAGTTCTCCCTTGAACATATGTCACCAGACCAAGCTGCCAACCTGCCACAAGTACAGGTAAGTTTCTTTCATTCATTCATCCATCTATCAGTTCATTCAATAGTCACTAAGTCTTTGGTGTCTAGAAGCCTTTGTGGTGGTACAGTGTATTTCATACTTAATTGTCAACTTGAACGTATTTTCTGCATGTCTTTCCATTCCTGTTTCTTAAAATAGTTGATTACCTAATTATCGTAACTTAAAAATATAAAATTGTAGCCCCCTGATGTTTAGTCTAGAGGAGCCATATCTGTTTATAGGCTGGGCAGTCCTAACCCCAGAAACTGGAGTAGGCCTGTCACACCTGCTTCCTTAATGGAGGGCCCTTCAGGTGCATTTAGCCTCAGCTCTGTGCATTTTGGTCTGAATTTGCTCTGGTACCTGACTTTCTGGCTAACTTCCTGGGACAGAGGTCAGGAGGTGTGGGCAGGCTTGGCTTGCAGAGGTGAAGATCCCAAACACTACTATAATGAAGAGTTCCGTATACTAAGTAGTGTTTACCTGATTCATTGGTCATGCCCTGTTTAACAATGTCCTGTAGATCCAGTTATGATGGTTTGTATATTAACTCTCTACTGCCAGAGTTTTTTCAGTCTGTTTTTGAATTAATACTTGTATAATGAAAAAGCCTGAATGTATGCCCGAGATCATGAGACAGCTACGTTTTTCCTACCATCAAGTTGATGTAGGCAGGCAATTGATATGGTGATCAAAGCAAGGTGATGCCAGTTGCTAGCTGGAAGACTATGGTGAGTTACTTAAGATCTGAGGTGAAGTAGAGAGGGGTCCAAGGTGACACAGCTAGTAAGTGGTGGACTCAATAATGTAGTCAATGTTAAAGACTCTGTATTGTAAAAATGTCAAATTTCTCTTTACACTAAAAAATTAAGGATCCCAAGAGCTTTTTTTAAAAAATATAGGTTTTATCTATCAATATAGAAATTAAAGCCGAAAAACTTAAAATATATTTGTTTCTTTTATTTTTAATTAACAATAATAAACCCATTATACTTTAATATAAATAACATTTTAATGAAAATAACTATTTTCTAAAACAAAAAGTAGTGAGAAGAATCACACTGTTATACATTTTTGTAAATTCTTCATTATCTGGCTTAATAGAAGACAGCTAGATTCTCGTCTGCTTCTGCATTCAATCTGTTGAGGTACTTTTGGTTCAAATATACAAAAACAATCCAGCTATATGGATATCTGTTGGAAAAAGGGAGGAATATTTTAATTGTCTTTTTGAGTAATTGTGGACATTCTTCTCTGAAACTATGCTAAAACTCTACATGTGGTAGTTGCTCACAGGTTAGTTGTAAAATGGAGTCTTAAGACATGTTGATGAACTTTTCACACTCTTACTGTAAAATCCATTGGTCTGTCTTGTACTTTGAATGGATCTTCTAACTGCATAATTTTATAACATTAAGCTTGATCATTTGGAAAATATTCCTTCACTGAGTTATGCAGATCATCCAAATGTTGACACATTTCATTAGATGATATCAAAAAACCACATAACACCATCTATCTCTTCAGAAAAATCCTTTAGTATTTAACTTTATAGGTATTGTTTGCCAGCTGTTATTTTAAGTAAAAATGGTATTCCATAAAGAAAAAAAAAAAAGGCTAGTTCAGCTGGCAACTCAGTCACACAAATGCTATTCCTCAACCATCATACTGTTTGGTGTACTTTATACATACTTTTCCATTTTGTCACACTGAATATTAAAAAGACTTGTTCTTCATGAAGGGCATTCTTAAACTGGCTTTTTTTTTTTTTTTTTTTTTTAACTACAAATACATGGCAGTGAAGAATACAGTAACTACTAATACAATTGGTGTCCCTGCCTTGATTTATGCTAAGGTGCCGAAAGTTTTACCCACCATTGTTTTCGTGCCATCAGTGCAGTGTCAACACTAGTAAAAGAGCCAAGTGATGTCTTAGTAACATTGTGAAAATAATCTTGACCTCACAGACATGTGGACCACTTTGAGAACCACTGCTCTATGCCCTGCTATGCCTCCATAGTACCGGGTCTCAGCAGTCTACTCTGTGTCTCTAAGTCTTCTTCTAATGGCTGTAGTATTACTTTTGTTGGTAAGGCACTGCACCTCTGAAATTAATGTTTATTGGAAATGGAACATAAACGACAGCCAACTTAGACTTAATCCAGGCAATTATCATTTCCCAAAAGCAATCACAGGGAGTTTTGACTCAGGCAGAATAATAGTATTGATGTAGGAATGTGTGCAGTAGCAAAAGGGGTCTGAGGGCTGAGTGTCAGGAAGTCCAGGTCTGTACTCCGTCTCTGAATAGCTACAGCTGTGGACAAATCACCTTCTTTCTCTGGACTTCAGAGCTCTTGTTTGTAGGTAGTGACATGTTAAATTTCTCTGCAAAAGAATTAATAATTTTGTGAATATCTATAAAATAGATTTCAGTATAATAATATATATGTATTATTTTATAACACACAGTGTTGCCAAGTGTTTTGTAGCAAAATTTCTACCAGAATAAAAAAAGTGATAGAGGTTTAAGGAATATACTAGGAACAATATTCCAATTGTTCCTAACAATGAAAGTTTCTTAAAAAGGAGTATGTTAGAGCTCAGACAGAGGTTGAATGGCATGTATCAGGGATGCAAGAGAGAAAGATGTTACACTGGATGACCTGAAATTTCTTCCAAGTCTAGGATTCTATAATTCTATAATCCTCTTAGGACAGTGGACATCTGCATATCTACCATGTATAAGAAGTTTTTTTTAAGTAACATTATAAAGCTTGGAATCATTTGTCCATCATTCCCATAGTAAGTTACACTTCACAGTATTACTACTATTTGTTAATTTATTCCCATTTGGTAGGAGGCTTTGCCTGTGGAAAAAGTTAAGGAATTCAGTAATGTCTAATGAGGCTTCAAAGGCAATAATAAAAGTGTGAGATTTCTAACCCTGTTTTCTCTCAGTGATTCCCAAACGTTAGTCTGTTTAAGAATCTCCTGGAAAGCTTGTTGAAATACAGGTTCCTGGGACTGACCTCACAGATCGGGTCCAGTCAGTCCTGTGGCATCCACTGGAACAGTGACTCCCAGCCCCAGCCCCATGCCACAGCCATCCATGGAGCTTGTTACAAATTTCTGTGCCTCAGCTCAATCCCCAGAGATTCTCCTTCACAAGGTCTTGGGCGGGGTTAAGGCATCATATTGCTTATAGAGCTTCCACAGGTTATTTGGAATTGCAGCCAGAACGGAGTGGTACTATATTGTACCAGAGACAAGCTCCTGGCTCTGCAAACCAAACAGCGTGGAAAAAGTTTAATCCCTTCTACCAAACAAAGCAGGCGCCTGTGGACAAGCTAAGGCCTCAAACTCCCCAAAACAGTGGAAACACTTTTTCTGCACAGGGAGAAATCAGCAATATGGAAGAGCAAATTCTAGGTCTAAACCAGAAAAAAGAAGATCTGTTGGTGGACTTTAAGGCTGCAGTACTAAACCTTCACCAGCATTTGAAGCAAGAACAAGAATTAGAAAAAGAAATGCTGTCAGCTGCTGCACCAGAAGAGGGTGGAGTGGCTGAGAGGGATGTTTCTGAATGGAAGGTGGGTGTGACTGTAGGTTAGTACTGATCCCGCATTCCGCGAGACTGCTACATGGGTCATGTTTTTTCACCTGAAAAACCCGTGGCATCTATGTCTATGGTCTATAGCAAAGGTATTTAAAAAGTAGAAATATTCCACTTGAGATTGTTTACTAGTGAATATAAATCCTCGGGGTGTGTATGTTCTGGACTTAACCCAGAATTCTTATGCCCAAGTTACTTAATGAAGTACTTATGAAATTCCTAGGGCAGGTAGATGGGAGCCACCCTTTGAAGTATCTTCCTACTGAAAAGACAGCCCATTGCAGACTCAGAATTGGGGCACAGCACTTCTTCTCTAAGCCTGTGCTGAATCCATGTCCATGAATCACATTCTTGAATTCTTTGGGTGAGGGGCTATAGGAGACAATGCAAGTAAAAGCAATCTAAGATTTGATAAAGTCAGGTATTTGGCTGCGTAAGCCGAGAGGCGCAGGACACGAAGGCTACTTGTGTGGGTGAGCATCTTGGATAAAGTGAGTAAAAAATTAGCTACACAAAAATGTGGCCAGGCGGGGATTGGGGGATGCTGAGCTGCAACTTGACTGCACGTATGCTTGTGCTGTGCCTTTCAGTTGAGCAGAACGGGCTCCATGTCTCTCCTGCCTGCAGTCTTGGAAGAGGCAGAGGAAAGCTCCCTGAAGAGTGAAGTAAGGAAACCGGTTTTTACGTTACCGTCTGTTACAATCGAAATCTTTTAAGGAAGGTCAATAAAAAGATCTTAAAATGAATAGAAACCTAGAGAGTTTTGAACTTAGTGCTGACATTCTATAGGGGTGATTGAAGTAGTTCTCTTACGTTATTAACGTTGTTCAAGTGTGTCTAAGACTACTTCACCACGTAAGAGTGGGACAAATGTAATTCAGACACACTTACTGGCGTAAGGGAGAAGATGAAGAAGTTCTTTGTAATATTCTGACTTGTGAGTACTTTTTCTGAAGTTTTCAGGGTATGCTGTTCAGCACTCCTGGTGTGCTTTCTGAAACTTTATTTTTTCATAGTCAAATTACTTTTTAGTCTAAAACAGTAATGCCAAGGACAAAAAGAGTTGTGTTAGCAACTAATTACTAATTATTACTACTTCATTATAAGTCGTGGAATGAGGCATTTATACTTGTCTTTCCTGACATTGGTTTCTATTTCACACTTTAAAAACTAATGGGTCTTCCAGAATAGGCAAATGCATAGAGACCAAGGTTCATTACTGGGAAGTAGAAATGGGGGAGGGGGATATTACTTAAGGGGTACAGAGTTTTTGTTTAAGGGTGATGAAATAAATTGGAAATGGATAGTGGTGATTGTTGCATAACATGGTGAACGTAGTTAGTGTCTCTGAGTAGTACACGCAGCAATGGTTGAAATGTTTTGTTATGGATATTTAACTACAATAAAAATGTTTTTTAAAAAAAACACAAAACTAATGGGTCCTCTACCAAAAAAAAAAAAAGAAAGAAAATTGCAGTAACTGGTGGTTTTTATGTCTCACATAAAACCACCAGACATTTTTATGTTCATTTTATAAATTGTTAAATAGTTCCATTGTCACATAGAGCAGACCTCTTATCCTATAGTGTATCACTGCCTTGCCTCTGATAAGGTCCCCGGGTGGCACAAGCAATTTGCAGTCGACTACTAACCTAAAGGTTGGTAGTTCAAACCCACCCAGTGGCACTGCGAAAAAGCCTGGTGATCTGCTTCTGTAAAAAGTGCAGCCAAGAAAACCCTATGGAGCAGAAATCTCTTCTGGAACACATGGGGTCACCATGAGTCAGAATTGACTCGATGGCAACAGATTTGGTTTTGGTTTACTCTGCCTCTGAGTTACCAGGTGAGGACGCAGTAGTAGGATAAGCAAGAGTGTGGGTATACAAGAGTGTGGATTTACTATGCTCCTTTATGACAGAGAGAATTCTGAGAATGGAGGAGGTACCAGTGGCCAAAAGAGAGTACGTCGCTATGAGTTCTATTTGAGACATGTATTTGCCTCTGAGTTTATAAGTTTATAATATCCATTGTTTACCTTTGACGATTAAAAACAAAAAACATGTTCATCACACTGTTATTTTAAAGATAACATTTAAGGTTACATTTACTAAAGCTGATTAAATTTCTAGAGCACTGTTTTTATTTTTTTTAATTGTACTTTAGACGAAGGTTTACAGAACAAATAGTTTCTCATTCAACAGTTAGTACACATATTGTTTTATGACATTGGTTAACAACCCCACGACATGTCAACACTCTCCCTTCTCGACCTTGGGTTCCCTATTGCCAGCTTTCCTGTCCCCTTCTGCCTTCTAGTCCTTGTCCCTGGGCTGTTGTGCCCCATTGGTCTCGTTTTGTTTTATGGGCCAGTCTAATCTTTAGCTGAAGGATGAACCTCAGCAGTGACTTCATTACTGAGCTAAAAGGGTGTCCAGGGGCCATATTCTTGGGGTTTCTCCAGTCTCTGTCAGACCAGTAAGTCTAGTCTTTTATTGTGAGTTAGAATTTTGTTCTACATTTTTCCCCAGCTCTGTCTGGGACC